CCACCCATTTCGGCACACCCCCCGCATTTCTCGCACGGCAGGGTCATCACCACGGTGGCGTGCCAGGGGCGCACCATGCGCGAAGGCGACGGGGCGGGGGAACGGCGCTCCGGGGGCGGCCAGACCTCCGGGGCGCGAGCAGTCCGCGGCCAGACCATCTCTCGGTCCTGTGGACTCTCGCCCTGGGCCGTCGGCTGCCCGGCGCGCTGCTCCCTCGGTCGACGTCGCCCAGGCGTGATCCTGGATTGCGGCCGCCACGAGGTAGGGAACGGCAAGAAGGAGGACGACGACTGGTGGCTGGAGCTCTACGTGCTGCTCTCGCGCGCCACGCGCCACGAGGACCTCCTGCTCATGCGGGCGCCGCGCATCGAGTTCTTCCTGGCAGGGCCGCCGCAGGGCTTGCGGAAGCAGCTGGAGCAGTTTGCGGCGCGCACGAAGCGGTGCAGGAGGGAAGCGACGGCCCTCGCCAGGGAGCTCGGCTTCACCGAGTTCATCCGCGAGGCCTGACCTGAGGAGCGTCTCCCCCGAGCCGCGCCTTCTCTCGACTGCCCGACTAATTGTTTGGCCTCGCGCCGCGGACGACCCGCGCGCGTCGCTGGGACCCTCTCGGGGCGACCAGCGCGCGTCGCGGGAACTCCGTGCTGCGGGGGGCCCGGCGCCTCGTTCGCCCGTCGTCGCTCTGCCCAGCGGTCAGAGACTTGCCCGCTATCAGCCAGCCAGTTAGCTAGTCAGCTCTCTCTGCTTCGCGCAGCGGACGACCCGCGCGCGTCGCTGGGACCCCGCCCGGGGCGACCAGCGCGCGTCGCGGGGACTCCGCGCTGCGCTGCGCCCGCAGCCTTGGATTTTGGAGTGCGCGGGCAAAGAGGAAGGAAAAGAAGAGCCGAAAGCGGGCGCGATCCTCGCAAGAGGCGTGCCGACATGGGCGTCGCGACGTGCGGACGCTGCCGTCGGGGTTCCCGCGGAAGCTGCCTGCGGCGGCCACGCCCAGTGTCACGTGTGTTCGGACAGGCATGCTCGACCATTCACATTCATATACACTTACACTAGGCGTTTCCATGATCGCATTCATGCAAATATATTCACTCGCGCGCAGACCCATTCATACTCAGATTCCCTCGCGCTCTGACTCACCCGCGTTCTTTCTCTCGTAATCAGATCTATCGTATTCCTTTGCGTTGTGTACCCCGCCACATTTCGGCACACCCCTCATGCGGTTCGTGGCCCCATAGGGAGCGCCACCGAAGAAGAGACTCACAATTGCGATACTCACAACTGCATATGGTTGGGTCCTTCGCCAGGATAAGTATTATTATTATTCTTAACATTCTTAATATGAGTCTTAGTATTATTCTTATTCGTCTTAGTAGACTTCTTCTTCGTAATCGTGTTCGCCTTCTTCTTCGTCTTCTTATTCTTCATATTATTCGCCTTCTTCGTAGCATTATTATTCGTATTCGTCTTCTTCTGCTTTGTACTATTCCTCCTCCTCCTCCTCGTCCTCCTCCTCCTCCTCGTCCTCCTCCTCCTCCTCCTCCTCCGCCGCCGCCGCCGCCTCCGCCTCCTCCTCCTCCTTCTCTTCCTCCTCCTCCTCCTCCTCCTCCACCACCTCCTCCTCCTCCTCCTCCTCCTCCTCTTCCTCCCCCTCCTCCCCCTCCTCCTCCCGCTCCTCCCCCTGCTCCTCCTCCTCCTCCTCGTCGCCGTCGTCGTCCTCGGGCGTGGTCGGCGACGAGGGGAACACTGAACTGTTGGGGGTGCCCCGCGGACTTCTTCGATCGGCACCAGACCCCCCTCACTGACGCGCGGAGCGCGCTGGAGGGGTGGCGCCGAAGCACCGCCAGGGGTGGCTCAGCACCGATCCGACAGAACCACGCGGGCCTCCAAAAGCTCATGCTGATGCCGCTTCGAGTTGTGTTCAAAAGTCCTTGTCCACGATGAGGCTTCTGAGCCCTTCGTACTTTGCCATTGTGTACCTCGGATTCTCCGACCTGGACTCCTCCTGCTCGGCGGCGCTCTCCGGGAACACCCAGCTGCGCTTGCTGCCAAACAAGAAGAGGGCGTCTGGAGGGATCGTGTGCAGCACGGCCTCCCCTTCTCGGTCGCACCGCGCCATGAGGCTGCTCAGAGAGATGTACACCTTCCTGCGCAGCTGCTCACCACGAGGAACAGGGGTCCCGAGAAGAGAGGTCCTGGACCCCTGCGTAGAGTGGGACGCACAAAGACATGCTGGTACTACATGACCTCCTTGGAGGCGCGCGTCCGACCCGAACATATAGTACACCCAAATTGTAATACATATATATATACACAGACATACATATATACATATATGTATACGTGTATACATATATATATATATATATGTATATGTATATATATATGTGTGTATATATATGTATATGTAAGTATAGATGTATGTATATATATACATATGTATCGCGTTCCCGAGCGGTACGGCCAGAAAGCCCCCGCCACGACGAGATGTCTCGGTGCGCGCGTCGCCCGTGGGGGATGGGGGGCGGGGGGGGGGGGGCGACGCACACATGGTACTAGTACGCTGGGGCGCCGCCGCTAGAGGGAGGATAAGCGGCACATCAAATAGGCCCTGGGAGGTCCGCACGGACTTCCGGGAGAGGCGCCAGGGGCCCTACCTCGCGGGCGCGCGGGGAGCGCCGGGGGCCGCGCCGGAGGCGCCGCCGTGGGGGCCCAGCCCTCGACCATAAAACACATCCGCGCGGCCCCCCGGCCTGTTTTGCTGTGCTCGCCATCGCTCGGACGTCCACTCCTCGTGCATGTTTCGGCTTCGGGCGTGCTCTTCACGCAGGATGGTCCAGGATGCTCGTGAATGATTACCGCCGAGCAAAAACACACACACACACACGTTCGAGTGATGCCAAGCATGCTTCTGCGGACCACGTTTCTCAGGACGCCCCTTGCCTCGGGGCGGTGCTCGGCGTCGCGCACAAGGGGTCGCCTCAGGAAGGGGCCTTCTGGTAACGCGGGGGGGGTTCTCAGGAGGCAGGGGCCTGCTCGGCAGCGCCTCAGGGCTTCCAAGGAATCCGCAGAGAGGAGCCAGGATGGCCTCGAATTAAGCAGGGACCGACCGTCCCGGCATTCCTACAGGCCTACCACGACATGTTGTTAGAACCCAAAAAGGTTCGAAGAACAAAAACAATGTCCTTAGAACATAAACCCGATGTTCTACAAACATTTCGTGGAAACCACCAAAGGTTCTTAGAACATTGTCTGGTAGGCCTACAGGCACGCCAGGACGCTTCGCCACTGCTTGATCTGAGAAACCCACCCGCCCTCTCAGGAGACCGTCCTGCCCCCCCGCCCGAGCCCCCCCCCTGACCCCACCCGATGTGATTTGTTCAGCCTGCGGCCCCAGAATCAGGTCGGGCATGTCCTCCTGCAGGCGGATGCTGGAAGATCGATGAAAGATTCGCCGGCCCAGCGGGCCAGAGGCGTGCTCAGATCTCGGGCTACTGGTAAACAATATTTCTAGTTCGCGCGCGCGGGGCGCCCCCTGGGGGTCCCCGGACGAACAGTACAACAGCCAGTACTACCCAGAGATGGATTTTCCTCTGGGCGCGGCTTTCAGGCGCCCCCGAGCGCTCCTAGAGGGCCCCAAGTGTCCCCAAGACAGTCCAAGAGCCGCCGACCGATCGGTCCAAGACGCCCAAGATGGCCTCCAGACGGCCGCAGACGCTCCCAAGACGCCCAAAGAGGCCTCGAAGAAGCGTCTCAAGAGGGCTCCAGGAGGCAAAAACCATACATTTCCCTTCGGTGCTTGAAGGACTGTGTCATTCTCATCTGTCTGGCTTCTCGCCGCTCAAGGACGGCCCACGAAGCCCCAGGTATCGCCCCAAGACGGCCCAAGGGGCCTCCAAGAGAGCCCCAAGAGGGCCCAAGAAAGCCCCAAGACAGCCCAAGAGGCCTCCAAGACGGCCAAAGATATCCCCAGGACGGCCCCAAGAGGGGGCCAGACGGGGAACCCGAACGGACAATTCGAGCCCTCCGCCCCAAGAGGCTCCCAAGACGCCCAAAGAGGCCTCGAAGAAGCGTCTCAGGAGGGCTCCAGGAGGCAAAAACCTTAGATTTCCCCTCGGTGTTTGAAGGATTTTGGCTTTCTCATCTGTTCGGCTTCCCGGCGCTCAAGGACGGGCCAAGAAGCCCCACATATCGCCCCAAGACGGCCCAAGGGGCCTCCAAGAGAGCCCCAAGGGGGCCCACGAAAGCCCCCAGACAGCCCAAGAGGCCTCCAAGACGACCCAAGGTATCCCCAGGACGGCCCCAAGAGGGGGCCAGACGGGGAACCCGAACGGACATGTCGAGCCCTCGGCCCCAAGAAGCGCCCAGGGGGCCCCAAGAAGCCCCCACGAGCCCCCCAAGAGCTCCAAGAGGTCCCCAAGAGGCCTCAAAAGACTCCCAGGACTCCCAACCAGGCACCCAGGAAGCCCCGAAAGGACCCCAAGGAAGCCCCTAAGAGGCTTCCCAGACGCTCCCTCCGAAGAGACCCCAAGAAACACCCAGAGGCAGTCGAACGGTTCCCTTCGACAGGGTGCGAGCCACATCTCCCAAGACCTCCCCGAAGATCGTGCTGCCCTCCCCTGGGGGCACGAGCACACCACCACGCAGCCACAGCGATGCAACAAGGGCCCGCGGAGTGAGCGGAGCGATTCAACGATCAAAGATCTGGAATATTCTTGAACACTCCTCCTGCAGAGGGACATGGACGACCCGTCCCCACAGATCCCGACCGCTTCCCTGCGGGGGTCAGCTCTCGCCACGCGTCCACTGGGGCCCCCGGCCCACGGCCCCCGCAAGCCGGCATCGAGGAGCGGCGCCGCGACTGGCACAACAAACACCATCGGGTCCGTGCGCGCCGCCAAGATGATGCTTGGGCTCCACCCCGAGCGTCCGGAAGTCCTGAGGGAGGACCGTCGGCAGGGAGGCCGGTTCAGGGGGGGGGACATCGAACCGGCATCGGCGCACAGGGTGCGCGTGATGAGTCGGCGGCGTGCCCCACGCAGCGACTCGGCACGTTCCCGGGCGGGCCGGGGCCCTGGTGGCGACGGCTGGGCAGTTGGGGGCCGCTGCATCCACCCTGCCCCGCCCTTGGGACCAGGGCCAGTTGCACCAACAGTGGCCCCAAATCAGTTCCTGATCCCCCTCCTCCTCCTTCTCCTCCTCCTCCTCCTCCTCCTCCTCCTCCTCCTCATCCTCCGCTTCCTCCCCCCACTCCTAGCCCCTTCGATCAGGGTCGGCGGCACCGGCCGTCAGGCCTCTGAAATCAATTCCTGATCCCCGCCAGGAGTCCGAGCGCACCAAGATCCCAAGTTGCGTCCAGCCGCGGCGACGACGGCCTCCCCCGAAGGCCCAGCTGCCGCTGTCTCAACTCGCCCTTCTCTGACTGTTATGAAGGGGCCCAAGGACAAACAAATGAATGCGCACAAGCAGCAGGATGCCCTGTAGTTTCCCATATTTCCTGGGTTTTCTTCTTCCCCCCCACTTCCCATACATTCCAATATTTTCCTGGGTGTCGACGATGAGTTGTGTCTGTGCGTGTTTTCCCCCTCCTGATATCCAGGGGCGTCCAAAAGAGGGGGGGGGACGTCTACAACGGGGCGTTGCACATCATGGCCCCGAGGCACGTGCGGGGCCCAGAGGGGGGGGGGGCTGAGGGACGGCTCGCCGTAAGGAGGGGCGCCATGAACTCATGGAAAAAAATGCCATCCACCGTCGCCGGCCTGCGAAACAAAAATACACCTGGAAGTCCAACACCGGGGGCCCCCCCGGCAAAAAATCTGAGGCAGAGTCAGGAGCCCGGGGGCGCCCGCCTCAGCCCACTCCCCCCAAACCCGCCACTCGGCCACAAAACTGGGAGGCCTGGGCCCCCCGCGAGATGTCATCGGAGAGGTCCACAAAACCTCCCCATTCGAGAACTGCTCGAAGGATCCAGCAATGGTGACTACCTACCAGACCACCCCAACCCAACCCGAAGACCCGAATTTCGGGTTGGGGGGGGTAAGGGTTCCACATGTGTTTTTTCCATGTTTCCCGACCCCCCCCCACTGGAAATCGAGGGTAAATCTGAGCCTTCGGGTTGGGTTGGGGTGGTTTGGTGGGTGGTGAAATGGCCTCCCGGAACCGATTTCTTCCGCGGACTGCCGCGGACGGCAGCACCCATCTCAAAGCGCGCCCTCGGACGCGGGCAGGCCGACGCAGCCGGGCCCCTCCGCGGTGCTATAGAGGCGAGCCACCACGGCGTTTCCACCGACACGCGGAGCACTGGCACAACCCTACGGGCCTGCGCACGCAGATCTCGACGCTGGCGTGGACCCTGTCCCGGCCAGCGATCCCGCCGCACCAAATGATACCGTTGAAACCTTCCACATAATCCTGCAATCAAGCTCCAGCTCACTCTGGCGCTCCATCTTTCATTTCAGAAGACGCCCCCCCGGTAACAACAAATCCGACATTACGTGATGACGATGTCTGTCTCGGCTTGATGCATGCTTCGGGAAATCAGCATCGGCTTACCGCAAAGCTGGTAAACATAGTCATACCAAACTCTGACACTCGAAGGTGTGGCAACATGGCGTTCATGGGTCTCGAGTTGTCCTCGCATCGAGTTCTCATCCTCGCCACGAACACGGGCGCCTCCAAAGCAGCGCGGCAATGTTCGACCTCGCGTTGCAACTTACAACCGAGACGCGCGACAGATCTGGGTGCATCTCGTATCACCGTTCTTTCTGTTACAACGTCCACGCAACAATCTTTGGCATCGACCCACAACGGCGTTGTTTAGAACATGTCTTTCCTGCAATGCTCTCGCACACTCTCTCGCCCACTCCAGATGATGCAGAGCGCGACGGTCTGCGGGCATCTCTCCCCCGTCCGCGGCGATGGCAACCTCGCAACACGAGCCCGCCCTCGCGCAGAAGACTCAGAGCGCCACGCGGTCCACCTGGTCCGCTGCCGGAGTCCACGACGAGATGCACCGCGCCTCGCACGGCACGTCCACTGTCGCCCAGTTCTCGCCGACATGCCGCGTCGCGGAATGCCGCCATCTTGATCGACACTCCGGGGGCCCACTCATAACGGCGAGGTATGCTTTCACGTTTTGGAATAGGACGCCCATGCGTCGCGCGTCTCCTACTCTGGGACCCCCTCTCTCTATATCGCTGGAATGCTCGCGCGGGAATGCGCGCGCCAATCCGCATCCTCCCGCGCCAAGCCGTCGCACCGAACGCAGGACGACGCAGCGGCGCCACGGCCGCCGGAGATGCACGAACGCCACCGTTGCCCACGGTCGACGCCTCACCTTGGGCGCCCGAGTTACCCCTGATGATGTGGGGCTCTGGACGCCCGAGTTATCCGGGGTAACTCCGGTCCGGGGTAACTCGGGTTTGGATTCCCGAAAAACGAACCCGAGTTATCCCTGACCCGAGTTACCCCTGATGATTCGGGGCTCTGACCACTGTTGCCCACGGTCGACGCCTCACCGACGCCGCCCAGGTTCCTTCGCGCGGTCGATCAGGCGCACACCCGCGCGCAGGAAGCGCAGGCGCCGGCACGGCGCGCACAGGTCGCGCGAGCGCAAGCCGGTGAATCTGGCTGGTCCTTCTCGGGCATAGAGCGCGAAGAGGCGAGGCGGAAAGAGTGCGCCGGCAGGGGCCGCGGCACAGCCGGGCGGGGGCGCGCGGCGAGGGGCCGCTGGCACCGGCGGGAGAAAAACGCTGAAGACCGTGGCGTGGCGCACTGAGCGGGCCGCCCTGCCCCCACCCCGACATGCCGGTCTTTCGCCCCCGGCTGCCAGCAGGAGCCGCCCGGCCCTGCCGGGCAGCCAGGTTGGCCCGCGGGCCTCCGACGCGCGCGCCACAGACATGCACGAGTGGAAAAGATGCACGCGCGCGACGGAGAAACGCGCAAACAGCTTCAAACCGTGCGCAAATCTGGAGTATGAGCCCAGAGATCTGGCACACGGCAATGCAGACACGCAGCAGCTCTGGACGCAATGCGCGCGCACGCTGAGGCGCACATAGAAGAGGAGCAGGTAGAGGAAGAGCAGGGAAACTTATATATAGGGAACAACTCGGCGAGCAGATAGAGGAAGCGGGCATAGGGGTGCGCATTCGCGACGCCCTCGAGGACGGCACGTGAACTTCTGGGGGGCCGGATCTGCGACCTGGCACGTTTAGGCATGGGGGCGCGCACATGTCCGCCCGGGGGGGTAATGCGCGCGCGCCGATGTCCAGGGAGAAGGTGGGAATCGAGATATAGGAAGCAAATGAAGGACAGGTGGAAACTGAAGTGCACGTAGCATGTGGAGCGCAGGTGGAAATGGAAGTACAAGGGGCACTCGAAAAACCGATGGAAATCGAAGTGCCCGGACCAAGCGGAGAGCAGGTGAAAGGAGGTAGACATAGGAGTGCGCGTTCGCGATGTCCTGGACGATGGCGAGTGTGACTTCTGGGGGGAGCCAGCTCTGTGACCTGAGGAAACAACGCACACGTCCGAGCAATGCCAGGTGCATTGCTATGCGGGAGTGAGCCGAAAAGAACCAACATGTCATCGGCAGATCGTCACCAACTATGTTTGGCTATTCTGGGGGATTCCTCCATGCAGAGGGAAACATGCCCGACTTAGCACCAGCGGCACTGGGAAGGGTGAGCTGCTGGGAAGGGGAGGCAGAGGAAGACGAGACACAGGCGGCATGTGAGGTTGGGCGAACCATTAAAACATACACACAAAAAATGCCCCAGAATAGCCAAGTCCTCCGGTGCTCTGCGCGTCCTGCGAGTCATCGCACGCATCCGTTGCCTACAAGCAGTGGTTCCTACGCGGCACGACGCGGAGGAAATCTCCGACGTCGACGTCGAGATCTGCTCGGTCAAGGCCTATACGCGCTGGGTGACGGACAAAACGCTTCTCTCGATCTTTCGCTCTGGTGCCGTCACCAGCGAGACTCGAAGACGAACCGGGTTCGCATGCAGGCACTGCAATGCAACTACCCCATCGTTTCGCCATGTCTGGGCTGAATGCCCGAGGTGACACCATGCGAGATCCAACATCGGAGCTCGCTACATGCTTCCAGACAGTTTCTGGACATCTGCTCCAAGGTGTACAGCGAAGTCGGGATGGGTGACTTACGCTCTTGCTGATACCCCAGAGGAGCGGACTCGAATGCTTCTGGCCTCTTGCTCTCTTCAGGCATTACGATATTGGCTAGTGGAGAGGAAGACCTGCTTACTGATGCTACCGCGCTACCTTCTTCTAGAAGACGACGTTTTGGCAACAGGAGTGTAGACGAACATCCTAAGTTTGGATCTATCCCACACGCCAGGGTGTTCCAATTCAACTTTTCTCTTTCTCTCTCTCTCTCTCTCTCATGGTCCAAAAATCGCCCCCGGACTTTTCGTGGACTACTTGTGGATGCTCCCCCTGCAGAGAGAGACGGGCCCGACTTGCACGCTGCCCCCCGGGCGCCTCCTGGAACCGGGCGTGCTCCTCCGCCGTCGGCGCCAGCAGGAGCTCCAGCGCCCCCGCGGGCAGCGCCTGCCGCAGGAAAGCGCGGTCCCCCCGGCCGAGGGCGGCCCGCACCTTCGTGGAGCTCACCGCCGCGACGGCGCCTTCGGGGGGGGGGGGCCGGGTTCACGCCGCGCTCGGGCCCCCGCTTCGGGGCGGGCGGAAGGGGGGGGGATAGCTTGGGTTCGTCTGGGGGGGCTGGACTGGAAGGACCCCACGAATGCACGTCAGGGCGGGTCGGCAGGGGGGTCCGCCAACTCCTTGTTGATGGAAGGGCTTGGGCGGTCAACTCGGACACTCCGCGCCGATCGCAAGCTTGAACGGCAAATCAGCGCGTTGGCGCCGAAGCGCATTTAGCATGCAGCTCCCAAAACGCCAGAATCACGCACGATCCACGGCGGCGCAAGGGCAGGGGGAGGAGGGGGGCGAGAGGGAGGGTGAGGAATGTAAGGGTGAGGATAAAGGGGGCGAGGAGGGGACGGTAGGGGATGCGAGGGAGGTGGAGGGGAACGAGGAGGCAAGGGAAGATAAGGACTTGGGAGGACATATGGGGGGACGGGGGACAAATTAGAAAGGTAGGAGGGGGAGGTGGAGGAGGAGGACGGGAGGCCGAGGAAGAGTGATGAGACAAAATGGCTGGCAACATCAGTGGCGCACGAGTGGTACGCAGGTTAAAGCACATGTGTTTACGCGTGTGTGTGAGAGGATCCTTATATGCCAACGGTATTGAATGCAACGGCACGTGAAGCAATGGCCACGCCGACCGTCGGAGTATCGCGCCGCATCGCCGATGCATCGCCGATGCAGCTCGATGTGGAGCCCGATGTGCCGTACGTCGGAGGTCGGAGTAGACGGTGCGCTCGCTGCATCGCGCGATACTCCGACGGTCGGAGTAGACGGGGTCGATATTCCGACCGCCCGACGCATGGCGCGCCCCCAACACCCTCAACACCACTCACTCGTTGCCTCGACGTCGGCTCGCACTCTGAGAGCATCCAGCCGAGATTAGAATCCAAACCTAAACTGCATTGCGGCACCCTAGCTAAACACAGCCAGCCCAATGCAGACCAGCGGCCCAGAGTGTTTGCACAAGCATGCGTGTCACGATATATGCAATATGCTGATCCCTTATGTGTCTATGTCTGCTCAATGCTGCATTACGTTTGCATGCTATGCTAGTGCCTGCTGCGCTTGAAACTCCTGAGGCTCAGGAGCGCTTGGCGCGCTTGAAACCCTTGGCGGGGCGATCTGAAACGCTAGGGGCCTTGGCCTTCACGTGCTGACTGCCATCGGCTGAACTCGGGGCAGGCGGCTTCTTTGGGGTCGGAGTGTGAATAGACCCGTCCGCTAAGCTTTTCTTGGCTGGCGTGAGGTGGGCTCCGCCCCCAGACGCGCCTGCGCCAGGGGCCAACGCCTCGCCAGCCTGTGCTGGCAAAGGCTGGGCTGGAAGTGCGTGCGCCTGCAGGTCCTTGAACAACTGCCAGAAGCACTGCGGTACCTTGGGGTAGCGACCCTCGTTCTCCGTCAAGAACTCCGTCGCTTTCGTCGGCCCCTCAGGGCGATGACGATACGCAGTCAACAGGTCGACGCCCCTGATGACCACGCTTGCTTCCGCAGCGTCCTTCAGCAACTGGAGTGCCACGTTCACTGACTCGGACGTCGTCGGGTGGTCCTGCACGCGGGGGTTGATGGACAGCACGGCTGCTGACGTGGAGAAGGCTTTGATGCAGGTGTGGAGTGAGTTGTGGCGGTTGATCACGACGTCCAGCTTGTTCTTGAGCATCGCCATTGCCATCGTCTCGTTGAACACGTCGTCGACGAAACATGCTGTCCAAGTAGGGGTGACCTTTGCCGTCGCCTGTCCCTCGTTGGTCAAGACCTCGGCCATGCCCAGCAAGAGCATGCTCTCGCAACGCCCGCTGACTCTTGCCGCCAACAAGCACCAGTGACGCATGGTGTGGATCGACTCGCGGAGCTGCCAGCCTGTCTTCTCGAACTCCATGGCCCTGGGGTCGTTGGCCATGCTGTCCAGCTTCTGCAGCGCAGCGTGGAGGATCTGCAATATGAAGGTGGCCGTCCCGCAGAGGTAATCTTGACTCATGAACTGCTTATCCTTGGAGCGAGCCTTCTTGCCTATAGCCACCTCGGCTGAGGAAATGACTGCGACCACGCCGGCGACAGCGCACTTGAGCTCCATAGCGAACATGCACAGGTCGATGCTGGGCTTCGGTGCATCCACAGTTGAGTTGAACATGCCAGGGACGTCGATCTCCGTCAGCATGGCTGCTCTGATGAAGCATCGCAGGTGCTCGAGAGCTCGGTTATGAGGGAGAAGCTCCAACACCTTGGGACCCCCTTTGCTTCCAGAAACATCAATGGGCGCAAGCTTCGCAACATTGCCGGCATCGCCCTTAGGCAGCAAGTGAGGATACAGGGCCGAGTCGTCGCACTCCTTTAAGACGTCGGCGTGAACGCTCCCCAGGAGCACCTCCACGTCAGAAATCGTAGAACTCTTATCTACCAAGAACGCTGTAGCCTTGAAGTCGTACATGCGCTGGCCGACATGCTCAGCAAACGCCGCGAACAACGCTGCGACGTCATCTCCGACCTCGGGGAGATCGAGGGTGGATGAGGTCAGCACGGTGAAGGGCGTGACTGAGGTGTGCTCGTGGTGGACCCTGCTGAAGTTGCAGAGGGTCTGCTCGTCGGGCTTGGTGCTGCTCTTTGAAAGTGACTCGCCGTCGAGCCACCAGTCTGGGTCGGCAAGCAAGTGAAGGCTCTCAAGGTATATGATAATCTTGTCGATGACCGCAACGTTGTGGTTGAAATGTCTCAGGACAGTGTCGCCCGACGCGTCCTTGTCGAAGTGATCGTGCCAAGAGCCGCCCACTCTGGTGACCGCGAGCTTGTACAGCTTCTGGGCGCCCAGCGCAGACTTCAGCATCAGCTCAACGAAGGCTCTCAAGCGCGGGCGCATCGCCTTCACAGTGGCGTCGATCTCACGGATGTGAGCGAAGAGGCGGACTGGCGACGAGAACGGCATTGTCGGCTGCACATTGCCGTCGCCGCCAGGCTGGGTCGACTCGCACTCGGCTTTGACGACCTCAGTCTGGATGGGGCCTGAACTGTCGCCGCCTGCGGCAGCACACGAATCTGCCATGCCCGCCTGTGAAGCTTGCTCCAGGAGATGGCCGATCCAACCTCTGACGGTATCTATGTAGACGAAGTTCCCTGCGTGCAACAGGACGTACATGTTTGATACAGTATTCGCCTGTGGCCCAGACTCACACAGCCACTTCATTTACACAAAGAACAGAGGGAGTTGGGGAGGCCGAGGAGGGGGGCCAGCATCAGCACGAGCAGCACGACGACGACAGCTGGGGGACGGCGACGACTACGAGAGCGAGCACGACCAGCAACGACAGCATGCGCAGCACGAGCAGCGCACTCAGCAAACGTGTTGAGGGACGTCGCGTTTGGGTTTGCACCCCTCCCTCCATCCTCTCCCACCCCCCCCCCCTGGCGAGTTTCCGAAGGCAGGGCGGGCCCAATTAAAAAGGCAAGCTAGCGTGGCGGTCGGTTTCGGAGTCGAGGCGGGGGTGAGGAGGAGGAGGAGTTAGATGAGGAAGGATAGGGATGTGGAAGTGGCTGTGGATATCAGTCGTGCCCAGCGCTCGCCAGAGTCTCGGCGTGCTGGTCCAAGGCGCTCGTGGAGCAGCGCTGGAGGGCCTGAGTGCAAGCAACGCTCATCACCATGCACGCCTCGAAATACTTCCCGAACGCATCGCTGGTCATCGGCTTGCCGCCATTCCCCGCCTTCAGCCAAGAGGTGGCGTTCTCGAAGACTGGATCGAGCAAGTCCTCGAAGCGGTCGACGCTGAACTCGAACCCGCTGCTCGCAGCCTCATCCTCGATGCCGACCTTGGCGTGGCTGAGAGCCCGTTTCATGAACGCCATGCCTGCAGGGTGGGCCGCCATTGCTTTTGCCATCTCTGATGATGGGACATCCTCCTTCGCTGCTGCCATCACTGTCCTCCTGGCCCACCTCGCACTGTCGACGCTGGGCCTCTCCCTCTCGTCCGACTTCGCGCACAGCGCGATCGTCACGAACGCGTCGAGAAGCTGGCCCACCTTATTGCTGAGGCAGCCGTTGTGTTTGGTAAGCCACGCCTGGCGCGTTCTCTCCATGAACTCATGGCAATGCTGCACCGCCTTCTGGTCATTCACGATGTCGGGGCTCAAGGTGAAGATGTACTTCGCCATGGAATCGCTCACCAGCTTCTCGAACTGCTCGACGGGATGGACCAATACACGCTTGGCGATCACGTCTTTCGGCATGGTGAACTGCTTGCGCTTCTTCGAAGGTGGTGCTTCGCCCTCTGCTGTGCCATCGGCGGCGTCCTTATCCTTGACCTTCGCGCCGTCGGTGGTCTTGGTCATCGTCCCCGTCACTTTGCCAGCATTCTCGGTTACGATCTTGTGGCACTCAGTGAGACGGTCGAAGTTCAGCGAATTGATTGCCTCGTCAATGCCCATGCCGTTGGCCAAATCCTTGTAGAACTGCGCGTAGATAAGGATCATCTCCAAGTCGGCACCCACAGACTTCTTCTGGAAACGAAGGAACGGTTTCAACTTGCAAACTGCATCAAGCACATGGACCAAGGACGCGTCGTTGTTCTCGTCGTGCCACGTCTTGAAGAGCTTGAACAGGATGATCGTTGTCTTCACGCGCATCGAAAGCTGTTTGAATGAAGTCTTTATGTCAACGTTCGCTTGCTGGGAGATCTCACTGCTGTGCTGGTTCAAACGGCGCTCGAGTGCTTGTACGGTCTGTATCTTGCAGTCTGGTAGCCAGCCCAGGTGCGACAGAGCCTCAACGTACTGGTTGATTGTCCCACGAATCCTCCCGAAGCTGATGTACACCTGGCCCTTGGGCAAGCGCTCAGTCAAGGAAAACTTGTTCAATGAGTCTGAGTCGCCGTCGTCCTCGGAGTCCACGTCAATGCCGACGGCCGCACACGTGCCTTCACTCGCACCAGTCTCACAAGCCGCTGAAGCCACGGCAGGCGCCGCCACCGACAAGCTGCTTCGGCGGAACCCGAACTCTTGCTTGACACGCTGAGGTTGTGCAAGTGCATCCTCCTCATGCTTGATCTCGCCAGCTGTGCCAGAGCCGCTGCCATCTACAGGCTTGTCTCTCGCTCCTCCTGACTCCGATGCTGGATTGTCTGTGCGCGTGCAGCTCTCACCGCCCTCTGGTAAAACAGAAACTTGGATCTCGCCAGCCTCTTGGCACCGTTTGCTCGCAATCTCAGCCCGCTCGATGGCCAACTCGTGCAATGTCACCGTGCCGTCGGCCGACCCATGGCGAAGCATCCTGTAGCAGTGTACTAAAAATGGCCATTGATTGGCGTCGCTGTCGGTGGGGAACTCCACCGTGCCGAGTGGTCCGTCCAGCTTCTCAGACAC